AGGAAAGTTGGAGAGGGAGCGCGACTGTCCATGACGCGCGGCGATACTTTTAGCCGAGGTCGGTCTTGGCACGAATCCGACAGGTGGCGTCCGTGCGCGGGCTGGTTCGCGGCTTGCTGCTGCCAACGCCTTGAGCCGCTGCCCTCCGTCTTTGTCCTACTCTCTTGCTTGACCACCGCCCTTGGGCCCACGACGCCATCCATCATTCCCAGCGCAACGAGTAATTCACACAAAAGACGCTTGAATCTCACCACTGCTTCGTAAACTAGCAGCAGCTCACGATACCGACAGCACCTTTTACAGATCTTGGCGTTGTTATCGCAGCATCGCTGGTGAACCGCTCCAGGGTCTTGTTGACGACCGCACAGCAGTCGCGCACTGTTTCCAGACACTTGGATTGAGGGAGGGAGGATACAGACGTAAGGAGGATTGCAGTAGCTGGGGGAGAGCGAGTTTGTTACTGCCTAGCTGTACCGGCGCAGTCTACACTGCGTCATTTGGCGCGGCCATAGCTAGTATCAACAAGCACTGTCATTACGTGTGTTCGTCGAGAGCGAGGAAGCATATTGTCTATCTTGTTCATCTGGCATCGACATTGGCAGTGTTGGTACTTTCTGATCGAAACGCGAGTCGCTTACCCTATCCTCTGCGCGCGACATTACACCCTGACACAGCACATATTCTTCTTGCTCTAACCCAAAGCATCCTTGCCCATTATGTCTCTCCCAGCAGCTGAAGTAGCAGCCGATTTTCGGGACGCACTACAAGATTTGAGGATGAATAGCAGGCCCGAGATTAGCAATCTAACCCTCATCGCCAAAGAGAATACAGAGTATGCTGAAGCCATATCCAACGAGCTCCAGAAACATATCCAATCGGTGAGTCTTGGGTACATTACTTGATGGAGTGGTTTCATTTTCTCCTCTCGTTTTCCATCATGCTTTTGATACTAGTGACTGATTGCAATAGACTCGACCTGAATGGAAGCTCCCCGCTCTTTACGTGCTTGATTCCATTGTCAAGAATGTCGGAACCCCATATACTGTCTACATTGGTCGCAACCTGTACCGAACATTCATGGATGCTTATCTGGTCATGGACCAGGCCACCCGCAAGAATATGGAAGGCTTGCTCAAGACGTGGAAGATGCCTGTGCCCGAGTCTATGGATCCACGCCCAGTGTTCTCAGCCGACGTGACGCAAGATATCGAGAATGCACTGGCTAAGTTTCATGCAGCTCAACAGCAGGTCCGGCCGCAACATGCGCTTCCACCTCGTCCTCCATCGCTCAACGTGGCTTGGAGAGGTACATCTACGCCACCACAGAATGGTCCCCGTTATGCCGCCCCCAATGACCCACGTGCTCGACCAGTAAGTCTTCGTCCTTGAGATGATACTGCCAAATGCTAATAGCGCAAACGCAGTCATACCCATCGACCCCTCAATACGGTCCTCCAGGACATGCTCCTACACCCCCGGTGTCCTACGCGCAACCTCAGCAACCTCCTTCGCCCATGTCGTCCATTGATTTGGCTGGACTAAAGGCAGAGGTCACTCAGCTAATCAGCACTACACAGAACACATTTGCTCAAAACCCAGCTGATGCCGCCCTGCGTACAAAGCTTTCGGCACTCTTATCTCTCAAGCAGATCTTGGACACACAGACTCTACCGCCACAACAATTGGAAGCTGTACGCCAGCAGATTCGAGCCCTAGCACCTCAGCCCGCTCCAACGCCCTCGTTTGTACCGTCTACACCAGTATATCCTCCGCAGCAGACAATGGCACCCGGTTACCCTGCTCAGTTTCCCGCTATGACTGCTTCGCCAGTCAATGTTCCACCAAATGTGGCACAGCTTCTTGCGGGCTTCAGACCACTACAGTCGACACCACAACCTGCCCCAACCCCAACCCCACCAGTTTTGAACCTTGCGGAATTGTTGAAGCGTGTATCATCACCTGCACAATCGAGTTCTGTACCCGCTCCAGCTCCATTCCAGCCACCGTTCCAAGCATTCCCGCCGCCTATTTCTACCCCAGTACCCGCATCTCAATCCGCTCCCCCAGCACAGTCTGGTACACCAACCACCAACTTGGCTGCGTTGCTTGCCCAGTTCAGCAAACCTGCTGCCGCGCCACCCTCAGTTCAGCCTACGCCTGTTCAAAGCACTCCTATACCTCAACTTCCATTGCAGTCTGTAGCTCCCCCGCCAGCCCTTGGTAGTGCTGAGTGGCTCCTCAAAGCCCTAAGCAGTGTATCCGGTCCCACACCTGTGAATGGGGTTCCCACTGCACTCCAACAAGGAACTGAACAATCAGTGGTGCCGGTCGGCTTGCTGGACCAAATTGAACTCACTACCGCATCGATGAAGAAACCCCGTCTTCACCTTATATCCCATCTGTATGAAGCTAAGCCTAACATCTGCGCCACTTGTGGTCGCCGGTTCGAAAGCACGCCTGAAGGAAAAGAGAAGAAAGCTCGCCACATGGACTGGCACTTCAAGGTCAAGGACCCAGATGCGGCCAAACGAGGCGTACATCGCAGCTGGTACATTCCTGAGAAGGAATGGATCGAATATCATGAACTTGATGAGACCGCCCCTAACCAGTCCAACCATCCCTCTTCAGGCAACAATGCGGCCAAGCCGAAGAAGCAGACCAAGGACCGGTATGTCAGCGTTCCGCAGGATGTGACACTTCAGCAAGCGCCTTGCCCGATCTGTCAGGAAAAGTTTGAAACACAGTGGAACGTGGAAGCCAATGATTTTGTATGGATGGATGCACTGAGTGTGGGCGGGAAAGTGTACCATGCTACATGTTTCGAAGAGTACAGCAAAGGAATTGGTATTGAGATGCCTGGTACCCCAGACTCTGTGCTTGGTAAAAGGAAGGCGGATATCGGAACGAATGGAGAGGGCAAAAAAGTCAAGGCTTATTAGATGTAGCTTCTTCCCCCACAGATGGCTAATGCCGGTGTGAATTTCTGATGCATAGCGCGGCGTTGGATGGTTTATTTTGTAAGTTATGAAGTAATTTATATATTATTTTATATATTATAATTGCTATAATAAGTATAGAGTTAAACAAATAACTTCGTGGTTATTATTATAACATAAGGATTGTATATTAAGTAACGGGCTGAACGCCCTTTGGATAGAATCCTCGTGTTACACGGGGTTTGGATCTATACTTCTCTTGCCGGGTCCCACACTAAGGCCAGTGAGCTTTACGCTA